TATTGAATTAGAGAGCAAATCTGCGCGTTGTAATCTGAGAGAAGGTAAGTGGAAGTGATAGGAAACTCCCGGCTCGGAATCGAAAGCCGATCCCGCCCTCAATACGAGTAACCAAATGCACGGTAACCATAAAAGAGAAGATTAAGATACGAACCTGTGAAGCGAAGATCGTTGTAGTCAAAACTTACTGAGAGGGTGAGATATTCACATGCTAAAGACATGAGCTTGACTACTGGGGTCTTTGCACAGAGTAAAGCGAACACAATTTGGACGGTCCTAGACGGAACTAAGATCCAAGTCGCAATTCTTGGGAGTGCTGTAAGGAAGAAGCGCTCACATTGTTCATGCTGGTATGGAAAGCGAATCCGTCGGTGTTGTGATTTGGTCCAATGCTGCTGGGGCACATGTTCGCGGCTAATTCGTTTCCCCTTTTACGTGGTCCCTCTGTTTCGTGCTCCAGTGAAATCGGGTGATTCAATCGCACACGAGACCGAGTCCCTAATGAAAAAAAACCGATTCGACGGGATCGAGGATGACCCATGGATGAATGGTAAGTGATCACCTCCAGCGTGTGTGTGTGTGAAGGAAGACTGAAACCTTGTATGAGGGCATGAACATTCAGTGGAGGATTGTTTTATGCAGGTTGAATTAGGCTTCCCGTTTTTGTGGACCGCATGACCAACCTAATTGGACAATCGGAGACACCGAGTGACGCCATAGTCAAACTTCGTCCGTTTACTCAATCTCCGCGCCCGTTTGGTCGGTCGGTATTCTGTGTGTTTATCCTGGTACTGCTTTCGTTTTTTCCCTTGTTGCATTTTGCTATCTATCTACCAAATCGATAGCACAAAATCGCTGTGTGCTAGTGCGAATTCAATGTTTGTGTAAACTGGGTCTTGTCTATGCACAGAGAGGTGTACCGTCTAACGCTTACCACATGCCATTTTAAGATCAGTGCCGTTAGTTGTGTTTTGACCAAATGCGCATGACTCGTCGTATCCCCGCTGTTTGCATTGCGCAATTTGTCTGATCCGATTCCAGCCGCCTGGGAAACATCGATCACAGACGAGACCGTGTCCGAGAAGAAAAGGAAAACGAAAAAGGACAAACAGGCAGACGAAGGGAACACGTTTGCAAGCAGTGGTAAGTGTGTTTGTTGCATCCCGTCAAACCATCATGCCACGCTCGCACTGTGTATTTCTCACTCACAGAATTACCACTTGGAAAGAAATTGATTTTCTTCTCATTATGCATCAGGGCGTAACGAACAGAAGTCGAGGTGGACCCCATAGTCACGAAGAACTGTTATTCCGAGATGGTAACCGGCAACCTTAGCCCCGGGTCTTGGAGTGGCGAATCACATAAATCCCCGCTAGGTTAGGCGTGACATTGAGCTGGACGACAGCAAAGCTGCCTACCACCAAAGTCGAGTGGCGGTAGTGGGGCGCGAACCTCAGACGATGGGGTCCAAAGCACGCCGGTGACAATGACTCACCGTCACCGCCACCCTTGCTCACTTTTGCACGGATCACCGGCCTGGTATTGAGAAGCTGATGATCGCACACACTGACCGGTTGAACCTTCTCATATACTCATAAGCGATGCTGTTCATCAATTCTACTAACTAAGCACTAAACCCGGAATAGCAATGACAAACCGCAAGTGTACCTCATACCTGTGCTTCGGTTGTCGTTCGGACCCCAAACTACGAATATTCATTCTGCTACTACTGTTCCACTTTA